AAGTAACTCCTTTTAACTACTCCAGGTCAGGTCAGGATAATCGAGATCAATCTTGCTACTGGTATCATGTAACCCAGTACCACCTGCCACCTACCACAAGCCCTGCTCCCTTGCAGAGTGTGCTCTTCTTAGGCAAAGGCTAGGAGAAATAAACTCCGACTAAAAATTCCCCTGCCTTGGGGCTCTTGGTTGAGTAAAGGTTAGAGATGGTGTCTTGATAAAAACACTATAATATGGTCAACATTCCTATATTAATGAATGGCAATCCTCTTACTGAGTCCTCCTCTTTACGTCTTCTTGGATTATCGCTTACTACTGACCTTTCATGGAAACCATATATACAATCGATTACTAAATTAGCTTCTGCTAAAGTTGCTTCTCTTTATCGTGCTTGCCATTTCCTTACTTCTGATTCCATTCTCTACCTCTACAAATCTCTTATTCGTCCCTGTATGGAATAATGTTGTCATATTTAGGCTGGTTCTTCTAATGATTCTCTTTTTGACAAGGTCCAAAAACGCATTGTAAATGTTGTTGGACCTGGACTATCTGCTAAGCTTGAACCTCTTTCCCATCGTCGTAAAGTTGCATCTCATTCTCTTTTCTACAAATACTATCATGGTCACTGCTCAAAGGAGTTATTATCTCCAGTTCCATCAACTAAAATTCATTCTCGTTTTACTCGTCATTCAGCTAAGTCTCATTCGTTTACTGTATTTGTCCCTGCATGCTCTAAAAACTTTTATTCATCTAGTTTTTTTCCCCGCACTTCAATCCTTTGGAACTCTCTCCTATCTTCAGGTTTTCTTAACTCATACAACCTTCAACTTTTCAAGTCTTCTGTCAATCGTTTCCTTGCTCTATAACTCCGTTCTTTTTTTTCCTAGTAACTCCCAACTTAATAGTGGTTGCTTGCAGCCTAGTTGGGAGTGAATGTAAATAAAATAAAAAATATATATATATATATTTATATATATATATTTATATATATATATATATAATATATATATATATATATATATATATATATATATATATATATATATATATATATATTTATTAAATTAATAATAAAATAAATACAATTAGATTTGAAACATAACTCGGAGTTTCACGCTTTATGCGATCATCAGACGTTACAAACAACCGTAACAACAACAAAAATTATATACAAAAATACAATACAGTGTTAGCTTAGATGACGTTAAAGTTGCAAATAACAAATTTGTTTTCGTGGCGACATTTTGATATTAGTTCATTTCGTTTATTCAGTAGTTTCAAAGATGATGTGATGATATGGTATTTTTCGGTTAAGCAAAGGTTACATAACTTTCCTCCAGGTTTAAATGGTTCCGCCCTATCAATAACTTTCCACGTAAGAATAGGATTTGAAAATCCCTTTTTTTTAATTTCCCAGATATATTTCGAAAGTTCTGTGGTGTTAGCTTTACTTTCGTATTGAAAGGAATTTTTATGTTTGTACCAGCGATCTTTAAAGGTGTGTTCCGTTAGACCAATATAATTAAGACGTGTTAATTATATTGGTCTAACATAGATATATATATATATATATATTATATTGGTCTATATATATGTGTTAATTATATTGGTTTAATTATATAAGACGTCTTAATTATATTGGTCTTAATTATATTGGTCTAACGGAACACACCTTTAAAGATCGCTGGTACAAACATAAAAATTCCTTTCAATACGAAAGTAAAGCTAACACCACAGAACTTTCGAAATATATCTGGGAAATTAAAAAAAAGGGATTTTCAAATCCTATTCTTACGTGGAAAGTTATTGATAGGGCGGAACCATTTAAACCTGGAGGAAAGTTATGTAACCTTTGCTTAACCGAAAAATACCATATCATCACGTCATCTTTGAAACTACTGAATAAACGAAATGAACTAATATCAAAATGTCGCCACGAAAACAAATTTGTTATTTGCAACTTTAACGTCATCTAAGCTAACACTGTATTGTATTTTTGTATATAATTTTTGTTGTTGTTACGGTTGTTTGTAACGTCTGATGATCGCATAAAGCGTGAAACTCCGAGTTATGTTTCAAATCTAATTGTATTTATTTTATTATTAATTTAATACATATTTGCTCTACTTTTGTATTGAGCACTCTCTACCGAGAAATTACTTTTATTATTGATATATATATATATATATATATATATATATATATATATATATATATATATATCTTATACTGCTGAGTTGAGGTGAGCATGATGATGTCATACTCACCTAATGTCAAATAGCCTGCTGCTGGGGGCTTCAGTACATACATCGACTGACAAATAGCCTGACTCGCCGTGGAGTGCTGCTACATCGACTGAGGGTTTGGTATGGGTCAGCAACATTTTCATTCATTATTTTTCATTTTCCCTCATCGTTTTCTAAAATTGCTCACTTAATTTAGGCTAGCAAAAAAAGTGAGCAATTGCACATATAAATATGCTATAGTAGATAAATATATA